TTTTTTTTTTTTTTTTTTTTTTTTTGAAGTAATCTGGGTGGAGTTTGATTGCTCACCTGACTGTTCTCTTCAGCACAGAAACAAACTGTTCTTAATGTCCTCACATACCAATAGATTTAATTCACTTTCACTGACTTCAGTCCACATCACCCCTATGTACTTGTACACAAAGTGTAATAATGGATCATTGAGCATTTCAGTGAAGAATTCCCCTGCTGTAGTGCAGATGGTACTCTAATCTGTTTAAAAAAATAAATAAATAAAAAAAATTGCTGTACATATGCGCAGGACTTCCTGAGCATATGTTTGTGATGGTGACGGCTGTGGAAGGAGGGTATTTTTGGTCTTCAATGCGCAAGAGGTGGGTGGTCAAGAGGGAGTGAGACACACAATAGGGGAACGAGGGAGGACGTGATGCATAATAGAATGGATTTGTGTCAAGGGACTAAATTGAAGGTTTGGGGGATTGGTGCAACTCGGAACCATGGAGAAAGCCAAAAGGCAGTGGAGTGTGGTGTTGCCTGGGACTTAAACAACTGAATAAAAAGACTAGGAAACGGTCAATGTAGTTATCACCTTTAAGGCTCCTTATCCCGGCCAGTGTTTAACATTGTCGCTTCACAGCAAGACGTTCCTGCTTCCTGGTTTGAGGGCTTTTTGTGCAGAGTTTGCATGTGCTCACCCTGTTTGCATGGGCCCTCCCGAGGTACACTGGCTTTCTTCCAAAGTCCAAAGAGGTATATGCTGGGATAACTGGTGACTATAAATGTTACCATTTGAGTAATTGTGAACAACTCACAATTACTCATCTGTCTGTGTTGGCTCTGTGGTAGGCTCTTCCAGGGTGTTCCCTGCTCTTCGGACCATTGATAGCTGTTATAGGATCATTGGGTTCATAAGCCTGTATGCAGGCATTAGGATACATAGCAAGGGTAGCTTTCAAATCTGCGAGTCCACCATTAATGCTGAACAGTGTACACAGATTTGTATATACATTTTGCTCTTTAAACCAAAGCAACTGTTCTCCTCAGTTCCCAGATGCCTATAGAGTTGTTCTAAGAGGAGGTGATACTACTACAACTACATTTTATATGTGGAAATGATTCTTGTTTGCTGTCTGATTTCTTTTTGTTGTCAGAGTTGTAGTGACTAATCATTTTTGAGTGGGCTTTGGCTGTAAGCAGGTACACAGTTGGTGTCAAGAGTAAAAGACAAATTGCATTTGCTGTAATTCAGTCTTGAAACCATGGCCATCCCATTTACAGACATTGACTGGAGGATGGAAGTCATGGCCCAGTTATTTGCTGGCTACATCAGAAGCCCAAATTAAATGGCCATTGCCCTTGGAGGTTTCTCAGCAGTCCAGCTGAATGATGGGTTTTCAGATTTATTATTATTATTTTTTTTTTATTTACTTATTTATTTTTTACCTGCCTTACAGTTTCTTCCTTCCTTTTTTATTTTAGTTTAATAATCCATTCGTCAAATTTGGCAATTTTCAAACTAGGGTTCAGTTTCAGGCAATTTCTCCCCCCCCCCCCCCCAAAGACGCTGCCACATCAGAAAGGGCACTATCATTCTTCTACAGTTTTGTACAAAGACTTGACATTTTGTTCTTGTCCTTATAATTTGTCTGTTACCTAAGCAGCTATATTGTGTTGTATAACCAAGATAGGCTTTCATTCCTCGAATTGTGTACATTGCAGTCAGTTGAAAGTCAAGTTGCTTTTAATACTGTAGCATCAGCCTTTGCTAATGCTTTTCCCATGCAGTGCCAACCTTTTCACTCCTATTTATACTGGGTAAAGACCAGCTGATACCAATAAACAGTTCCTATATTGCTGCTCGTGACTGTCTCCAAGCTAGACTTTGCTGCGCCTGTGTGTACATTTCCATATTTAATACATCACCCTGCACTTAAAGTCTGTTACCTTTAATAGCAGCAACACTACATTATTGCAGGTTGTTCTCTTGCAAAGGGTGTAAGTATGTTAATCCATCACAGCGTTTTAAAGCGCTGCTAGACTTTAGTGTTCATGTAGTCATCAGTGTATTATAGGAGTGCTGCAGAGCTAAGGCTCTAATGTTAGTGTTCATTTGAAGTCCCTAATTTTAATACTAGAGTAGAGCTTTATTTGTCATGTTGTGACTTTACTGTGCAAAATCCAGCAGTGCAGCGGCAGAGACAGCAATGCAGTGTTTTCAGACTAGTTTTCAGGTCGTCAGCAAGAGTGGGTCACGTT